TGTGGGGGGGGGGGGGAGAAGAGATGGACTCATAATGTTAGATTAACACAAACAGGTTATTAAATGTCAGGCTTCATCATAAGCATTTCAGTTAGAATTCATTCTGTGGGTCTTTTATTTTAAAATGGGGTGTGTGTGTGGGGGGGGGATCCTCTAAAGATCTCTAAGAACCTGAATGACTGTATGAGAGAGAGAGACACAGAGAGAGAGGGAGAGAGAGGGAGAGAGAGACACACACACACAGAGAGAGAGGAGTGCATGTGTGTCTGTGAGTCTGTGTTTATCAACATCACTAATTGTTGGAATAGTTGAAACTATTGTTATCCTAATCTTTATTCTTCTTTTTATTATTATATTTCTTCCGTCCCACCTCTTCTGCTCCTTCATATTTTAAGCTACAGAAACCGTTCAACTATCAAAATGTTCAGCTCTTTAATGACAGTTATGCTGTGACTTTTCATATTTCTATCTCTTATGCTTCATGAATTATTAAGCTTTTTGCAATTTTTATTTTGAATGGGATTTCAATGGAGAAAATGTTCAAATCCTCTTAAACATCCAAATCCTTGAACTTCCTCATATTTTCAGCTACAGACACCATTTCAACTTTAAAATGTTGAGAAAACCCTGATATATTGCCGCATAATTCAGCTTTTTGATATCTTTTACACTTTTTGAACTGTAACAATTAAACTTTTCTGATTTTTTAAGTCCTTTTCTGACTTTATAATGGGTGTGTATTGCGCAGCTTAGAGTGCGTGATGTCACCGCTAGAGTGAAGAGCAGCTTGAGATTCTTGTGAAAAAAACATTTGTCTTTTGCCACTGTGTCCACAATCTTCACTCTTCATGCATAATTTCTGGACGTAGAAGTAGCTAATCTTGTCCTTGTCGTAGACAAATGACTGTGGAATCCCACAGATTTACACATTTGGCACAGAAGCCTGTAATTGAGAGGAAAACCAACTTTCTGCTCCATAGAGACCAATGTTAAATTTTGCTTCAAAAACATCTACCACGGAACACGGTACCCCATTTCTAGATCGCCAGTTCAGCCACATTTTCTACACTACAGACACAATTTTTACAGGATCTGTTCTTCAACTCATCCTTCCTCTCATTTATTAATATCGGAGCAATAGGAGCTACGGTTATGGGAGTTTTGAGGATTTGTTTGAGAGGTGTTTCTCTGTTTAATCTCCATGAAAAGGCTGCAAGGACACAGGTGTTTCTGATTAAGCTAATTAGTGATGTTGATAAACACAGAGAGGCACTGGCGCACACACACATACACTCCTCCCCCTCTCTCTCTCTGTGTGTGTGTGTGTGTATCTGTCTCTCTCTCTCTCTGTGTGTGTGTCTCTCTCTCATACAGTCATTCAGGTCTTGGAGACTTTTAGAGGACCCCCCCACACACACACACACCCCATTTCAAAATACAACCCCCAAAGAGTGAATTCTAACTGAAATGCTTGTGATGAAGACTGGCATTTAATAACCTCTGTTTATGTGTGTCAAATATTGTGATTATGTCTCCTCCCCCCCTCTCCCCCCCCCCACCCAACCCCACCCTTTCAAAATAAAAGCCCCATGGTTTAACTGTATTTAAACAAGCTCAAAATTAGGCTTTTTTGTTAAATAAATGAATGCTCTTACTAATACTGCGACAACTACTACCATCAATATTATTACTACCACTACTGCTATTACTACCACTACCACTATTACTTATACTACAACTGCTACTACTACTACTACTGCTATTCATGCTACTAAAATTAGTAATACTACTACAGCTATTAGTACGACTGCTACTAGTACTACTACTACTGCTATATTAAATACTACGACCAATACTACAGCTATTACTATGACTACTGATACTACTTCTTCTACTACCTCTTCTAATTACTAATACTTCTACTACTAATAATACTTCTACTACTACTACTACAAATATCACTACTGCTACAACTAGTACTTATTCTAATGCTACGAATACTTCTACTAATAATACTTCTACTACAACTTCTGCTACTACAAATATCGCCACTGATGAAATTTTTTAAGCCACAGAAACCATTTTAACATCAAAATGTTCAGCTCTTTCAGGAGAGGAGTGATATGACTTTTCATATTTGTAATCTTTAAACTTTTTGAATTAAGCTTTTTATATTATATTTCTTCCATCCCACCTCTTCTGCTCCTTCATATTTTAAGCTACAGAAACCATTCAACTATCAAAATGTTCAGCTCTTTAATGACAGTTATGCTGTGACTTTTCATATTTCTATCTCTTATGCTTCATGAATTATTAAGCTTTTTGCAATTTTTATTTTGAATGGGATTTCAATGGAGAAAATGTTCAAATCCTCTTAAACATCCAAATCCTTGAACTTCCTCATATTTTCAGCTACAGACACCATTTCAACTTTAAAATGTTGAGAAAACCCTGATATATTGCCGCATAATTCAGCTTTTTGATATCTTTTACACTTTTTGAACTGTAACAATTTAACTTTTCTGATTTTTTAAGTCCTTTTCTGACTTTATAATGGGTGTGTATTGCACAGCTTAGAGTGCGTGATGTCACCGCTAGAGTGAAGAGCAGCTTGAGATTCTTGTGAAAAAGACATTTGTCTTTTGCCACTGTGTCCACAATCTTCACGCATAATTTCTGGACGTAGAAGTAGCTAATCTTGTCCTTGTCGTAGACAAATGACTGTGGAATCCCACAGATTTACACATTTGGCACAGAAGCCTGTAATTGAGAGGAAAACCAACTTTCTGCTCCATAGAAACCAATGTTAAATTTTGCTTCAAAAACATCTACCACGGAACACGGTACCCCATTTCTAGATCGCCAGTTCAGCCACATTTTTTACACTACAGACACAATTTTTACAGGATCTGTTCTTCAACTCATCCTTCCTCTCATTTATTAATATCGGAGCAATAGGAGCTACGGTTATGGGAGTTTTGAGGATTTGTTTGAGAGGTGTTTTCCTGTTTAATCTCCAGTATATTTGTTGGAATGCTGTTAAGCATTCCAACAAATATACAGTGGGTACGGAAAGTATTCAGACCCCTTTAAATTTTTCACTCTGTTTCATTGCAGCCATTTGCTAAAATCAAAAAAGTTCATTTTATTTCTCATTAATGTACAGCACCCCATCTTGACAGAAAAAAACAGAAATGTAGAAATTTTTGCAAATTTATTAAAAAAGAAAAACTGAAATATCACATGGTCATAAGTAGTCAGACCCTTTGCTCAGTTTTGAGTAGAAGCACCCATTTGAGCTAGTACAGCCATGAGTCTTCTTGGGAATGATGTAACAAGTTTTTCACACCTGGATTTGGGGATCCTCTGCCATTCTTCCT